AATCATTAAAGAGGAATGAAAAGATGTTGGTCAAATGTCACTGCCTCCCGTCCAAGTATGAACTCAGGGTGTAACAGTACAATTCAAGACAATGACAATCAAAGGCTCTGTGACCTGAATACATCACGGAAACACAGATTAATCCTCTCGTGCCAAAGACTTCCTACGCAGTGCTGATGGCCACACTTAACCTTGCTTCTCTCCATGTCCCATCTGTAAGACAGGGTTAATAATTTTAATCTACTTCTCAGATAGTAAGTGGCTTAGCAGCACTAACCATAAACTGATTTTTTTAAAAATCATGAGAGTGTTTTCAGTAAAGGCTACAATTTTTCATGTTAAGAAATATGAATTTCTTCTCTAGGAGTGTTCCAAATGCCTGTTAATGACTTCATAGAACAAAATACGTAGTGGCCTTCCATTTCAGTGACTGAAGATATTCTTTGGGCTGTCTTTTAAAAAAAAAATAAAAACTTAACTTTTTTAGGTGTGAAAAATGACTTTGATCCTATCTCTGCCCAGTGATTCAGTAGACAGCAGCCCAGGCAGAAAGATTTAGAAGTGCTGTCCCCAACTTACAAGACTCCACTGAAAAATACTCATTTAGCAGTTCGAGAGTTACCTTGACCTAGAATTTATGCTAGAAGCAACAAGGGCATAAAGATAAAAGCACTTCTCCCTACTAATCAAAAGAAACTTATCCTAGATGAATTTACAGAATAAATACAGGGTAAGTCAATTCCACTGTCTCTCCAGACTTGCAGTTATGAAGCATAAATATCACCCGCTTACATATTGTTCCTAAAATAATTCAGTGTATTCTTTCTCCAGAGGTTGAAACAACAAAAAAAAAAACAGTGAAGTTCACTGTCTAACACTTTTTGTGACCCCTAGGAAAGAGTCAACCTGTATTTGTCCTTGGCAGAAATATTCATATTCCTACAGCACCCAGAATGATGAAATTCTGGGGCAGAGAGCAGGTTAAGTAAACATTAAATGAATCTAAGACTGCACAATAGATAGTGTTAAATCCTGCCAGCCTACGATTTATTAACGCCCACAAATAGATTACTTCTGTTGAAGTCAAACAACCTGAAAGAAAATAGATTTTCTATAATCCAGCTACCCAGTTTCCTTTCAGTTTTCTAGAGATTATAACTTCCAATTTATGACACGACCACATTTTTTTCTACTAGAGGGTAAAACATAAATCAAGCTGTGCATGATGGGGGTATGATCTCAAGACAGGGGCATCATAAATCCCCCTTATAAACTGTTGTAAACTCTCCTGCTCAATAACAGAAGCAAGTATGCAGAACAAAACTTCCACCTCACCATACTGTTATGTGAAACAGGCCATATAGGTCAGGAAGTTCCCAAATGTTGCTCTTAAACAATGTTTCCAAAGCCACAGAGTAACACTACTTTCTATTGCCTACCTTCCAGTTCAGAAAGAAAGAACTACCCAATTACAGTAATGTAGTGTTTCCCTCTGGAGATATTCTAGCCTATTTTGGTGAAGGATTTTCCAGAGAGAACTTACATTTGGAAAAAGAAATAGAAAATGAACTAAAAAACACACAAAGCAAAATTCCTGGATTACCTTCAAGTTGTTCCTCAAAAGTGTAGCATATGTTTAAAGCTTTTACTCTTAAAATAGGTTAAAATAAGGCTTTAAAGTTATAAGGGGGTAGGGTCTATTATCATAGAATGATGGATTACCCACCAAGTTATGATCATTGTTTCTAAAGTAACTAGAGTTAAATTGAGGAACATCTTGAATTAGAGTAGCATTAATCATGAAATAAAATTATATTCTTGCTATTCAGACTACATATCTAAGAATAATGAAAGCTTGAAGAGAAGTAGAAATGTTTGGATTAGTTTGAACTACTCATAAAATTTAAGAAAGTAAAGATAAGCCTTTTTAATAAAAATACAGCAACCTTTCTATTGGTACTCAAACAATACCAGACAGTCTAAAATTGGTATGAACCGATCTTCTACATACATTTCAGAGAGGAATTTTCACACTCACTGGGCCAATTTTAATAAAATAAGTGGATGTAGGTAGAGAAAGTAGAACAGAAAAAAAAATCCCAGGACTATATTAAAGATGAAATTAGAATAATATTAGGCTTTCTCTACACTTTAGACTTTCTATTCTGTCTTTAGAATGCAGAACCAGTGTTCCATTTGAGGTTCCTGCTACAAGATTTATCAGAAAAGTGAATCCAAAGTGAAGAACATTTTAACTTGCTTAAGGGACCTTTTGATTGTAGTTTCCCGCTGTGTAAGTTAAGTGTAAAAGCATGTTAGCAAATATGATGCAAATGCTAATGAAACCATTAAGGCAATTTTTTCAATGCAAAATAAACATAAAAATAAGCATTACAGGCACTAGAACGCTGAAAGGTCCTCAGTCAGACTGCGTATTTGGAGAGAATGTGAATTATTTCCTTTATTTCTAGCTATGCTAAGTGCACTATTGATTGGGACAGAAAAATAAATCCACTGATCATAAGTAAAAGCCATTGGACATACTAAACAAGCAGTCCCATAGTAAAATGGTTTTTAATTTCTAAATTTGATTTCTAATATGTAATAGGAAAAAAATATTACCCATGCAATCAGAATTTCAGACTCTATCTATCCTGCTTCATGTAGAAGACTGAATCTCCAAGTTCAGTTGTCAGTGTATTAGAAATCTATCTCAGTCCCCTCCTTCCCTATAACCATATACAGATTCAGTGAGATTTCAGACTAAAGACTTTCAGGATTGGAAATGTAGCTGGGGTGGAGCTGCTTAGCATGTGGAAGCAAGGGTTTGATGCTCAGGGCTGAGAATAAAAACAAACTAAAACATTCAAATCAGACTTTCCAAAGAAAAAAGCATTCTTTACATACTAAACAGAAAAGTGATTCTAGAGAAGAAAGAATATAAGTGTTTTAATTTTGATCCTGGAAAATGTATTATAGATACTGCCTCTATGGCTATTTTGACTGAAGGAATTTTTCAAAACTTTTAAAGATTCTAGGAACACTTATAGTGAATGGCTGTGGGTTTAGGGTGATTATTATAGAGATTTTAATTTTTGCTTCAAACATGCTCAAAAGTATCAGCAAGCCATTGTCCATGGATACACTAAATGTAGTCTTGTATTTTTGTTAGTGAAAATGAGAAATAACTTACTCTCTTCCTTCTCTTCTTTGAATAAGTTCGTATCTTTGTTTAGAACAGGATTTATGAGTGAGACCCATCAACTTCTTTCTAAATATCCATGTACTTTCTAATATCTAAATATTGCCAGTCATGTGGATAACCCACTACTATTATAGACTACGGGACTATATTGGATTACTTTGCTGAATTCATGCACCTACAATATATGAATGACAATGGAATACCCATCTCTGATAAAAGTAAACAAAAAAGGAGGATATAAATGAAGGACCATTTTATAGTGAAAATATATGTGTGTGTGTGTGTGTGTGTGTGTGTGTGTGTATATATATATACACAAAATAGTTAGCATAGACATACAGCTACTTTCTCTTAGCTCAATGAGAAGAAAATTTTAATAGTGTTTAGACAAGATATCATGTCTGCATCTTATACTATAAGTAACCACTACAAAGACAACAATATGCAATGTATTAATTATTGTAACTGTCCTATCAACCTGTTTTGAAACTGCCTCATTGCTACTTCTTTCTCAATAAAATTAATATAAAAATAAATATAGATGCACATTAAAGTACTAATGTAAGTCAGCATTCTGTTTTCCTCCTTTAGTGATATTTATGAAAGCTCCTATTTATTATGAAGTCATATAACCTCATCAATACATCACCACCTGCTACAAATATATGCTAATTATCTGTGTGAAAGTAAATGCGCCAGAGGTGGCTCATTATTATACTTATACACACACAAAGCATAGCCCTTTCTTTTATATCACTACCCACCTATTATAAATTATAATATCGACAGGGGAGAACAACACTTGACTCACAGGTCCAAGAGCTCTCTTTGTGATAACTGCCATTCCTTGAGCACTGTGTTATTTGTCACCTTTGGTCACTTAATTGATCTTCCCTGTCCCTGGACCCTAGGAGACTGACCTTTATCAATTGCATGGTGCAGGTTCTGAGCCATAGAGCTTGGGTCCAGTTAGACCCATGAGAAACACTGTGCTTTCTAAGCTCCACTATGTACTATCCTGGTCTTGAAAACAAAAGAAGCTCTGCATGGTTTCTTTTTGTTGTTGTTTTGTCCTGTTCTGTTTTTTGGTAAGTTTTAATGATGTCATTGTCATTTTAATGTGTCACTTGGGTTGAGAGAAGCTAATCCAGCTGCCTTGCTGGGAAATATGAAGATCAGAGCGCTCAAGCCAAAGCTGAGGCATGAGGGCCATCAAAGTGAGAGGTTTCCACACAACAGGAACCTTCCAGGTGGGCAGTAACAAACAGTGCAGTAGAACTTTCCCGACACCACGCAAGCCCGAAGAACAAGGAAAAGATGAGTGCTATACCTTGGAATCCACTCTCTACCAAATAAAAGAAATCCCTCTCCTTCACAGCTTAGTGATCATGTGTCTTAATTAGCAGCCATGCCAAGAGCTGTTCTAAGGACTATACATTAGCATACACCACATTTTCTTTTTCTTTCTTTTTTTTTTTTTTTTTTTTGGCAGAACCAGGGATTGAACTCAGGCCCTTGAGCTTGCCAGGGAAGCACTTATTCCACTGAGCCATCTCCCCGGCCCCAGACATTTTCTACAGATATCAAATGTGGAGGACCACCTGAGCAGTTCTCCTTGAAAGAAGAGCGATTGTCTCCATTTTGACTGAGCCTGACCCTATTTCCTTGTATTGATATGCACAGAGCTGGCTAGGACTCCTGTTTATCCTTCAATTGGCCTTAAGCAACGTATATTGGTCTAGCTGAGGTGCTGGTGATAGTCTTTGAAGGTGGCATGCGTGTTTCCCTGGTAACCTATACCTGCTGCTCTTTAATGTGAGCCAGGTTGAGACAGGACGGTAGAGCTAATGCTCCGTGCCGCCAGCTGGGATAGAGCCTCGAGACAGAGGCCATGACTTCCTGGGGCTTGAAAGGCTACACCAAAGCTGAAGCACCAGACTTACCAGAACATTAGATACTATATAATGCAGATTACTCTCTCTGCATATCCTCCCTGCATATCGCAGAGGTAAATTTAGGCCACCCACCTAGCTCAACTCATAGTAGTCTCTTTCCCACAATTCTCAGTCAATCCTCAAGCCACTCCCCTATTGAATAAAACTGGGTGAGGCCCTGGGTCGCTCTTGGTTCCAAAAAGCCATCTTCATGGCCGGACTTAGAGCCCCTTGACTCCCCCATGATTGAAGATATAATTTAGTGTCTTTATTTTCGCCATTGGTTGCATTGTAAGTGGTAGATTAGAATCAATTTGATGGGATTCCAATAACGTAACTTTGGGATTACAAATATTGGCTTCTTGGACCGAGATGAGAACCTGGAAGTGTCTCCTACAAGCAAAAGCTTTTTTCCTATGGCTACTGGCCCTGAAAAGACAAAATATATCCATGGTTACTGCTCACTTACTTGAGGGTGTCACAGTCCTTGCCACAAAGAAATACTTTGTGAGATACTGTCTGGTCCCGGGGGCTTCATGGCAGTTTCCTTCAGATCATCACCGGACTTACATTCCTCTTCAACTTACCAAATTTCTTAAATTTCTTTTCAACTCACCAATGATCTGAGCTACTTTCTCTCTCATTACTGAGACAAAATACCTGACACCCAAAGTTCAAGGAGGAAAGGTTTATTTAGCTCATATTTGTAGAGGGTTCAGCCCATAACTGGCTGGCTCCAAGGCAGGGTGGCAGAGCACAGGGGTCTCTCAGAGAAGAAAGAGTTCACTGTGGCAGAAGACAGTGAAAGCAAGCAAAGGGACAAGCCCCCTCTGTCCCTTACATTGTATACAAGCTAACCACCGTAGGGTATGTGTAGCACTCGCACTTTTTGTCCTCTCTTTTTGAGACAGAGTTTCACTATGCAGTTCCTGCTGGTCTTAAACTCTATAGATCAGGCTGGCCTTGAACTCACAACAAACCTCCTGCCTCAGCCTCCTGAGTGCTGAGATTATAGGCACGCATCACTGTGCCTGGCGTCACTCACACCCTTACTCCCAGTATTGGACCATGAATCAATCACAAACTAGATCCAGTCACCTCTGAAAAGCCTGTCCCCCAACAGCTGCATGAGGCTTTGAAAGGGGCATCTAGACACAAACCAAACACCAACTACCTAACCCCTCTTGCTTCCCTGAGGCAAACAGTGGCCGTTGCTGGTGAGTGTTTGAAGCAGCATCTAGATGGCTTCAGAAGGAGAGGATGAAGAACGCACATCCCACTCCACCCCCTGGGAATCATTCACCCTACACTCAGTTTACCAGGGTCTTAAACTCATCATTCTCTAGGACTTAGCCAAAAGTTCTTATCTTAGTAATTGACATATTAATAACATGGTATTAAATACCCTCACTATTTTGAAATATTTCTCTCAGCCTCGAGAATCCGAGGTGATAGTTCTTTGAGTACCATGGCATCTTGAGTTAGAGATTAGGTGATAGATATAGATAGGACAAAGAAGGAACAGAGAAGATGGGTTCTCAAATGTCGCCATCCTGTCTGATGCACTAATCTGATGAGAGCAGACTAGATAAGCCTATCATCTGCAGCTCAGGCAATATAGCCAAGTGCCCATATAATTCAACCTAGACCTGTCAGAGCTCCTCTTCCCAAGTAAAACTATAGGATTGCCTACCAATGTAAATCACAGATATGACCCTGTACGTTTAGAATTCATATTCTAAGACATTGTGCCTCCTTTATGAGTTCTTTCAATGTGTGTGGATCAAATATATCAACTTCACAATTATTTAATATCACATCACCAAAAAGTCTTCACTGTATGAGGAACATGTGTGGTACTTCGAAATACAAGGACCAAGAGCAGAGATTAATTTTTTCTCATAGTCTAGGACTTTGCCAATTTTTTAAAGCAAGGATTAGTTTCTTCTGGCTGTGATGCTTCATTCTGGAGCAAAATCCATTTTTGTACTATTTTTAAGGTTTGTTGAGCAAAGTATATATAGGGTGAAACTGTAGAGGGCTTGTTTGATTGAAGGCATCAAATGTGTAGAAACTTTATCACTCTGTTGTTTTTTATGCAACTAATCTTGCATATAATTTAATAAATCAGTTTATTAAGTGCAGAGGCTAATGTTTTGTTTTAGTAGTAAGAGACACTTAATGTCTGTCTGTCTTTTAGTGTATTTAAAAGAAACGTGTCCATTTTTACCTTATTCCAAAAAGATTTGAAGTAACCTACATGTCCATACTTTCCTATAGCTCAAAAACCCCTTAAAAGATATCAACCTCTTAAATTCTGTCTGCATTAGTGAGTTTACATTGTCTTGAACACTGATTTCTTAACTTCATATGAATGAATTATAGTTGCAAATATTAAAAAATCTTTGTCTACCTTAAGCATCTCGATAACTTGCAAGCTGACAGTTCTGGTTCAATATCCTTTTTCTTTCCTCCAATTCCTGTCACTGTTTCAAAATTAGGTGAACGGCTGGCTAACTCCTTTCATAAATCAAATCACATTCTTCCTGCAGTTTCAATGGAGTAAGTCAAGCTTCAGAAACTAGCACAGATACTTACAGTAGCACTGTTCTGGGGACCCCGCGGAATGAAAGACTTGATGAAATTGGTCTATATAAGTCACATCCCCACTCAGCATAATCACAAGCTCTGCTGCAGTTGCAAACAATGAAACATTGGAATTCTAAATCAGTCCTTCAATTATCAGAGCTGGCACTTCTTCTCCTTGACATTTTTTCTGCCCAGCAAAATTCTAGTTGCTATTGCTGAAAAGTTCTCCAATTTTTACTCATAGATTTTCCCAGAGAGCAGAAAGTCTTTAGGAAAAAATTATTCTGGATGAATGTTGAAGTAAGTGAAAGCCTCTCTCTGGCTCTGGCTCTG